TCCGGCAGACATGTTGACAAAGACGGTGACTACGGACAAATTGAAGTTGTGTTCAGCTTCAGTTAGAATGCTAGAGTAACAAGACCAGAAATACTGCTGCATTGATCAAGGTGTGAAGACAGATTAAAATCAGTCTTCAAGTGAGAGATTGTAAAGTCAAAAATTGAGGAGGGGGTGGGCACCACCACTGCCTGAAGGAATTCAAAAGGGGCGCATGATTTCTTCAAAAGGCGCAGGATTTTCAACAAAGGGAGGCATAATTCGGTGCCCAATTTTTAATTAAAATTGTAAATGGGTTAATTACTTTTTTAGCTACTGCACACTTTAGGGTATTTACAAGATTAGTCCTTAAACTTAAACTATAAATACCCTAGCCTATTTAGCTTCAAAATCATCCCAAAACATTTCTTTCTTCCTATACTAGAGAGTTTTCTTGTGAGTAGTGAGTGTTTTGTAAACATCTGTAAATTTTTTCTCTTAGTAAAAGATCTGCAGCAGCCCGGAGACGTAAGCACAATTGGCTGAACTCCGTTATCAATTTTCGGGTATTATTTTTCCGCTTTTATTTCGTATTCTCACTAATCTGGTTATAGAAAAATTACTTGTACTCGTTTTATTTCCTAACAGTAATAAAACATTGTGCGTGCAAAAATATGCATGATTAAAAGGCCAAAATTCATGGAGACAGAATTTCCAGGAAGAATGATTTGGTTGGAAAAGAGAGCAGTGAGATGGGGAGTTTTTTTTTCTTTTTTTTAGTAGCAAATAGCCATGATGAGAGTCCACCAATACAAAGCACTAGAGACTAACAAGTGTTCAATAGAAATAGTGCATGGGAATGGGGAACGTCTATTGAAAAGCTGTGTTGCTGCACTGCACTCTCCAGATTTTTCTTTCCTTCTGGCGGGGAAGATGATGGTGATTGGAGAAGGGCTTGTAGCTTTGGCTTTGTGCCGCTTTCTTTCTTGTCTCTCTCTCCATTCTCTGCTTAAAATAGGTTTTCTCATTAACCCTTTATATTACTCCTTACAAATTTATAATTAATTACAAACTTATTTAGATCTTTAGTATTCTTCTTGGGCCAATTCAGCAGCTCTTTAGTTCAATCCTGCTTTTATGATTTAATGAATGATTGATATTGGGTAATGAAAGGCTTAATTAGCAGGGATAATCTACTTTACATGGTCGCGCAAATTCAATATCAATCTGGCAAACAAAAAGAAAAAGCAAACAGAGCATATTCGGTTGCCATTAAAAAACAAAAAGAAAAGCAAGAAATGTTTGGTCTGAAATCATATATGAACTTTAGAGATATAACTCTATTCGACAAAACATGTTTTTTCTTTTCCCTTCTTTCTTTTATCAAGAGACGCAAAAAGCAGAAAAAAAATGTTGGTAAATAAGGGACTCTGGCATTGAAAAAAATAATTGCTGGGAAGGTAAAACAGGAGCAATTAGGCCATTTAAAGGCGAAAATTGAAAAGGAAAGGGGAAAAATAGCACTTTGATCACAAAGCAAGACATACAAGTAAAGGCATAAGAAAATAAGGGAAACATGGCAGACTGTTATGGTTATAAATTTAAGAAAAATGCTTTGTAGGTGACAATTACGACGGACTTCAAATAATATTTACAAAAGTTTGTATCTTATTTTTATTTTTAAAAATTCAATAAAAAATACTACTACATTTGGTATAAATAATGGTTTTTTTTAAATATCTTAGAACAATCTTCTGTACTCGTATATCATTTTTCAAAACATTTGATTTTTATAATATTTTTCAAATGGTCACCTTATTAATAATCTTTTTCAAATTCATCATTTTATGACAAAAATTGATTGCAGCCTAAGCTAGACGTTACATCAAAAGACCATCATATTTCAGTTAATATTTTCACATTTAACTTAGACTACGTTTAAATTTTTAACATGAAATGATGAAATTAAAATACATAAATAATCAAACGATAATTTTATAAATTTTAATAATCGAGATATTGAATAAAACAATAATCTATACTTCATTAATTATTTTGTAATATCTAATCGTCGGACACTCAGAATTCCATTTATACACTTTAGCCAAGATTCTAATATCGCTACTCTACTTTCAACTTTGCTTTAACTTCCTCTCTGTGTTTTCTTTCGGATGTGATGGTGAAAGACAAATTGGTGTTGTCATATTCACACATTGGATTCTTTTTCTAGACAGCTGCTCCGGGTCTGCAAACATTTAGCAGTTGGCAAGTAGAGCATATTTTGCCCTTTTGGATTGGAAAATAGCAGTCTCTTGTGGGTATTTGGCAAGTAGGCCTGTGACGGAGAGAATACCCTCCAAGAGACTGCTATCATAATAGGGAAAGCCCTCAAGATGCCTACAAAGAAAGCAAAGCAACCATTACATTGTTAAAAGGACCTTGATCACCAAAATACCCACATTCCTAGGACAGCTACATGTCTGAAAGAGAGTGCAAACAGAGAAAATTATGGTGGAGAAGAAAGACAACCTCGAAATGCCTGTTAAGGGTTTGTTGGTAGGGTTGCTTTCATTCAAACCATCCAAAAATTCTTTACTTTGGGTGCAATGGGTGCCTGCTTACAAGGTCCCGGGAATCTGGATTTATTTGTAGTTTTCCACTTTTACTTTGTCCTCACTAAAAGGACCAGGGAAATGTGAGAGATCGAGATGGACTAAAGAGAAGGCCATTTAGTGGTATTTTATAAAAAGGGACGTGTCGTGCAACACAAATTGACTTAGAAATTAGAATGAATTGAAAGGGACAATTATCAATTTTTTTAACTCCATTATTTTGATTCCAAATCTTTATTTATCTTTTTTTGACAAAATGCAATAAATTCTACTTTAAAAAATCGAATAACAAATGTTACTTGTACATGTGAAAAAGATGGAGAAATAGCATTATAGGTATATTTTATAACAATTTTTATTTAAATATAACATGATAGGTATATTTAGTATTTTTAATAATATTACAAAGGTTACTTGCACATTAAAAAGACGAAGAAATATATGTGTTTTATACGAATAAAGAACATAGTTTAAAATTAAACTAATATGTATCATAATATTATAAAAATAAAATTACAGTAGGAAAAAAACTCAAATAACTCAACTCGAAAGTTTAAAATAAAGATTGATTCATACAAAAAGACTTGTTAATTTAACTAATACGAATTTTTAACTCGATTCGATAAGATAAAAATTTGAATAATACAACAAGATTTGTTAACTTAACTAACAATTTTTTTTAATTAGACTCAATAAAATACTCACACCAAATCATAATTGATAAAAAAAGTTCCAACGATCAGGATTGATACTCTCTTTTTCCGTTTCAGTTTCTCCTCATATTTTCTGCCTTGGGTTGCTGTTCGGACATATATACATATCTCCTACAATAAATGATTACATAGTTATTAGATATCAATTTCAGAACTTATAATAGGAGAAGAGATCACCTAAAATAAAGCAACTCATTGGCATTTATCTATTTCACATGTAACCCTCCATTTTAATTTTGAAGCCCAATGTTATCCTTTTATTTCAACTTTGAATCTGGGCTTCACAGGCTAGACCAAAGCACCTGACGATAGCCAAGGTAAAACATAAGGTTCAAATCAAAATCAAAATGCATAAGACACGATAAAGAAGAAGTTTTACCAAAGTTTCATCTACATCCGGTCGTTTTTACAGTGAGGATGCTGGCAATTAGAAGGATCAGCGCAAGGAAATGGGTGATCAAAACACATTGGCTGCTGATAAAAATAACCTCCTCTATAGAAATCATACATTGGCTGCTGATAATAATATCCTCCTCCATAGAAATCATACATTGGCTGCTGATAATAATATCCTCCTCCACAGAAATCATACCAAGGCTGGTAGTAGTCAGGCCCGTAGGAAGTATCCCAATATGGCTGAGAATTTACATCATAAATGCTGACAATCTCATAACTCCGACTATTCAAAAATCCATTCCCCCAATATGGTGGTGGATTCCAGTATGGCTGAGAATTTACATCATAAATGTCGACAATCTCATATTTCTGATTATGTACAAATCCACCCGGCTTTGCACCCTTTTGTTGTTTAGGGATGAACTTCTTAACTTCAACCATTTTGTCTTGTAATAAGTGAAATTTATTCTGTAGACCTCGTGTCATCGCTTCCTTTGAATCATAAGTCACTACTCCGGTTACACTATTGTACATTACAATCACATCAGTGATGGTACCGTAAACATTGAACTATTGCCTCAGTTCTTCAGTTATTGCATGAGGCAATCCTCCTACAAATATCTTCTTATCGCTAAGTGGTATTTTTGATTTCGCTGGTTCCGCCTCAACCTGATTTAATAGAATTATGTTAAATTAATTTGTAGAATCAAATATGTTGAAACTTTTAGTCACTTATACAAAGAACAATAAGACCTTAAACCCTACAAACTTTATTTTCTCGGTTTTTTATCGCTTCTATAGATTCTATACTTCTCTACACAGCAAATTAAACATGTTCCTAGTTTTCCAATGAGAAACCTAATCTTGCTACAATAAATTTACAAATAGAACATTAACATGTCCTGTTCTATCAACAAAAAAAATATTAATAAATGTAAAAAAAAAAAAGAGAAATTTACCTTTTGATCAAGAATAATATGTTCTTGTTTAAGAGCATTTTGAGCCACGAAAGAGAAATTTAAATTTAATTGTATTTTTTTAAAAAAAAATCATTATATTACTAATCCCACCAGCTTTCATCAAATTTAGGCGCTAACATGGTATATTGTCATAAGCTGAACAGATTGAATTCTACGTGGCATATATAGATTGGACTTGTTGGCTTTGATGAAGATAAAATGAGTAATTTTAGTAAAACTAATTATATTATGTTTAATGAAATTAATAACCTAAAATTATTTTCCTATTTTCGATTTATTTTAAACCATGACTTAAAAGAGAGTTTATCTCTTCAACTCAAACTATCTTCTCTCGTATTTATCCGATTTCATATTGTTTCTAAATACAATAAAACAGGAAGCGCGTACACATTATATCGAGAACTTACAAATATTGACCCTTAAAAATTGTGAAATTTTGAATTAAATTTCTGAAACCGGGAGTCCGATATTGAGTAGATTAGCAACACCATAATTTGGAGGTACCGATTTAATATTCATGAAGCTGGAACTTTGCAACATATGTCAAAAACTTCATGTAGAGGAGCATGATCGCCGGTCCCTTCATCTTTTCGAGCATATAAAAGTTGTTTACCTTTGAACACAAACATCCCTCCCTGATACAATACAACCAAAAAAGAAAACTTGTATGGATTCTTATGTCAAAGCGCCATTAAAGTTTACACAGCTAAAATGAACTTAGTGTTTTGCTACCTGTTGCAGGACACCACTTGTTTCGTCTGGAGTGGCCTCAACTGTATAGTTTTTTACAGCTTTTCGCAATGATTCAAACCTTGAAAACACCTTAGTCTGCAAAACATTACCCCCGTTCAATTTATACGCTACCCTACGACCCAACAACTTGTATGGCAGAGAGTGAAAAGAGATTTACACTTGCTGGATTGAAGAATGTAGGACCAAAACCATAATTCAAGCCCAACATATCATATGCCTGAGACTTTCGGACGTTAATGGTGATTGAAGGAGAGAGAAAAACTAGAGTATGAGTCCATTAATGGTGTGATAGTATTACCTTGCGTTCTGGATCAGCGTAAAGGCAATCCATTGGAAACGGTAGCTGAATCAATTTTAGTAATCCGTTATATGCAAATTGTTAGCAATAATCAACAACTTTTTTCCTAGAAAAACATCAAACAAGACAGAAAAAGGAAGTACACGTTCTGCAAGCATGCGTGCTTTGTTTGGGGTACCAACTCCGATTGCAATCAGTTTAACTCCAGCGGCTTCAAATCTTGCCTTTGCTTCTTTCAATTCTGAAGCAAGTTCCCAGCTTACAATAAACAAAAGAAGAAAAAAATTGTTTAGTAAATTTACACATACAGAAAAAGGTAGACACTAAAAAAACCCTGAAGCCGGTGGGTGCTTGTGTGTTTACCAACAAGGGCATCCGAAATGACGTAGGAGAGCAACAACTGCAATTCCCTGGGGAAACCAGAAGAAATTAGAAAGAGGCTGAGTTGAGATCGGAGCAAGTTTTTAGCAAGAACAATAGAGTAAAGTTTACTTGGTTTTGGTCCCAAAGATCTTTTAGAAGGACAGGCTGACCAGCAGCAGTGAAAATGCTAACATCCCCAAGGATCTCAGGCATATCTGCTTTGAATTCAGAGGCAGAGGCAGAGGCTCTTCCCACGAGCCGAGAGTTGCTGAAGCCATCGCTTCTGGTGAAAAGCTCGAGTGGTTTTAGTTTTCTAGGAGAGAAAATGGGGAATTTCAATGAAGAAACTTTAGGAGAATTCAATGAAGGAAAACACAGAGGCCGCCCTGATTGCAGGTTTTGTGAAGGTAACGTGGCCATTGCACTTTCAAGCAATACAGGGAGTGGGAAAGTGGAAACTTTCCAGGAGAAAAAAGAATTGGTTGATTGTTGAAATCCATGGACTATTTATTTCATGTAATTTGTGGAGGGTGGAATTTCAAGCTGCTGAATTGGTGGTTGAGAGAACATGATCTCAGGCATATCTGCTTTGAATTCAGAGGCAGAGGCAGAGGCTCTTCCCACGAGCCGAGAGTTGCTGAAGCCATCGCTTCTGGTGAAAAGCTCGAGTGGTTTTAGTTTTCTAGGAGAGAAAATGGGGAATTTCAATGAAGAAACTTTAGGAGAATTCAATGAAGGAAAACACAGAGGCCGCCCTGATTGCAGGTTTTGTGAAGGTAACGTGGCCATTGCACTTTCAAGCAATACAGGGAGTGGGAAAGTGGAAACTTTCCAGGAGAAAAAAGAATTGGTTGATTGTTGAAATCCATGGACTATTTATTTCATGTAATTTGTGGAGGGTGGAATTTCAAGCTGCTGAATTGGTGGTTGAGAGAACATCAACGTTTGGATTGCGTGGGCTATGAATTGTTTTCGTTTAGATTACTTCAACCTTCTATTTATTTAAGGGAAAATCTACATTTTGATACTTGAAATTAGCTTCAAGGAGAAATTTGATACTAAACTCTATTTTATTCAATAAAGTCCCTAAACTTGTCCTTTAAATTCAGTTTGGCACCTGATTTTTTTTCCTAAGGACTTACTTGTATCCATATATGTATCTTTTAGGGTTGGTGCCTTGGTGGTACAGAGAATTTACATTATTTAGTAAAAGTGAAGCTCTACTTTATTCAATCAAGTCCCTAAAGTCGTCCTTTAAATTCAATTTGGTACCTAATTTTTTCCCCTTAGGACTTGTATCCATATATGTATCTTGTAGGGTTGGTGGTACAGAGAATTTACATTATTTATTAAAAGTGACTATAAAACCACTTGTACCTTCCACTAAGCAATTTATGTAACATGAGAGAATTGCGAAAGCTACCTAATAGGACGCTGAATTTTAGTAAGCCGAAGTGCCAAACATCTCCGCTCTTGGTATTTTCAGTCAAAACTTCAACTCAAATTTCTGAGAGGGATTAAAACTCACAAATCACATACTCTTGGCTGTATAAAGAAACTTCAAAGCAAATTGCAGCTTAATTTATGGGTTTATGCAAATGATCTTGTTGATTGTAAGGAAAAACCTTGGTAAACCACGACCATGGCCCGAGACAGACGTCGGCGGAGCGCAAGAGTTTCCCTTGTTCTCTTTCACTCAACAAAGGAGTGAAGAATCCAAACCTTAAATACTCATTCCCAATAGTATTTCCAATAATAGGTGAGATTAAGCATTACCAACAATTTACCGACATTTTTAAAAATTATATTAATTTCAAAACTAATAAATATAATCAATATGATTATCTAATAGAACAATACTATAAAATTATGGTGTTAACAGGCCAAATAAACGGGGAAAAGAAAAATGTTGTGAACAGAAAATTGAAATGTAACGAACACTTAAAATGAAAAATCTAAAGCTTTCGTTTGCCTGAGTTGGTTCAGCCTTCCTTATCTTTTGTTGCATGTATTTGGAAAAAAAAAGCTGTGAGAACAGGAACCCAAGGTGCCTTGGGATAAGATTATTAAACATTCGGGGCATGTTTCTAGGAATTCGATGGTTGTTTGGATGGCTGTACTTGACAGGTTGCCTACTAGGAGCAGAGTGATTTCTTTTGACTTGAATGTAGATTTTTTGTGTCTGCTATACAAAAGGGGAGGAAACAAGAAATCATTTTTTTCGGGTATGAATTTTCGAGCCACTTGTGGGTTGTTTCTTTGAGTGCCTGTGGTTTTCGTAGGTCAGTCTTTATTTGGGGTCACGAATTGGATTAAATGCATTGCACAGCGAAACGGTGTTCCTTACCTGCTTTGGTCTTGAGGCTTGCTTAGAATGGTTGCACTTATATGCTTTGGAGTGAAAGAAATGCGAGGGTGTTTGGTCGAACTGATTCCTCTGTGGAAGAGGTTTTTCTGCGTGTTCGGGAGATAGTTAAACTAAAACTCAGGTGTAGAGTCATGCAACAGCAGTTGCTTAGGCATAATGCTCTTTGTGAAAGCTGATATTTGCTTGTATAGTGGGTTGGGTGCTGGCTTGTTTTGTATAGGTTTGTTGTACAGTTTTGTTCGTTCTTTGATTGGAATATACAGATGCAATTCATCTAAAAAAATCTAAAGCTTGAAGCGAATCTATTGATAAAAATAAGAAACTAAAATGGGTAAAAAAATGATTCAATAACTAAAAAATAATGAAGAAAAAAAAGAGGGGAGAGCTCAGATTCTACGGGTGTAATAAGAAGTCTGTCATGCCCGATTTGAGCAAATATCAGAACGAGGAATTATTTTTATAATCATCGCCATCTCCGTATTCCCCCAGCCTCAGAAAAATGTAAAAAAAAGCACAAAAAAGAAAGAAAGGTTCAGATACGCACAAACGCCGTCACCAGAGAGCTGTTTGGTCCTTAAATTAAAACAAATTTAGGAACTTGAAAATTGATTCAGAATCGAGAAACTTCAATCAGTCATCACCGCCATAACTTAATCAAAACTTGATCAATAAACCAATAACCTAACAAATTAAAAATTAGTTTAGAAGAGCAGAGAAGAAGACAGACGGAAAAGCGGCCGATGGTGGAAGAGTTCCTTTGCATTTTATAGGCGTGAAACCCTAAATCTAAGTGTTTTTAGGGCTTTGGTCAAATGACGATGTTGTCCTTCGTCTTAAATAGTTGGGAGGTTTTAAGCGAAAGGCCCAATATATATAATCCAGTCTGATGGATCAACGATCCGACTTTGTTAGAATGGATTATACGTATTTTCCCAAGCCCAACTCCCTATTAAGTATTAACTCAGAAAATAAAAAGTGATAATTATTTTTTATATTCTTTCTAATGATTTATGTAATGATAATTAATTTATAAATCATTTATAACCTCCAAAAAATTAAATTAAAGTTTATTGAACATTTAAATATGTCTGAATTTATACTTTTAAGACAATAAATTGATTTTTTTTATTCATCTAGAGTAAAATATAAAGTAGTATCTGTTTAAATATTCTCAACCATTTAACAACGAAGTTCATACCCCTAGTATTTGTGATACTCGAACCTGGGGCCTCAAGATATAAAAACGAGTCCCTTAACCATTGAGGTAGTGTGATTCGTACCGATAAATTAAATTTTTTTGACCAACTTTATTAATGATATTTTAAGTCATGATCAAACTCAAATTGTTTGATATTTTTATATATTTTAATAAAAGATGCTCATGATTTCAAATCCATTTTTTAAGTTAAAAAAATATGCATTGATAGAGTAGAAAGTTGATAATAATAATGAATTTGTTAAAGGATAAATGAACTTTGTATTATTATTGTTAGATTGTCAGTAATCAAATTCAGTTGGTAACTAAAAAACCTAATTTCTCAATAATTATTTTTAGTTATTAAAATGAAAAGGATCAACTTTACCTACCAGAACTTTGAAGCACTGGGAGGGATTAACAGTCCAAGGCTGTTAAGTTAATCAGAGTATGTTTTTCTCTACTCTCATCATTTCTTTCTCTAAATTCATTTGAAAGCAAATTGCTGCTTAATTTTCACGTTTTTTTTCTTTCTTTTTGCATCCTCTTCTGATATAGATAATATATAGTTTGACAGAATGGCTTGTGTGACAAACAATTAATTCTAAAGATGATATCCGCCTTCAATATATATATATATATATATAAGCAACACCTGCAAATGATTCATTGATCAGTGTTGGAGAAAAAATGAGTCATAAAAGGTCCATTCACAAGGAAATGTACCCTTTTCTTGGGAGGACAAACCAGGGGTGTCCAAGTTGCCCAAGGTCATCCATTGTGACCATCACTACTGCCCTATTGATGTAGGGTCGTATGCACTTACCGGTGCTGCCCTTACCGGTGCTGCCCCGTCCAAGATTTTGGTTCATGAGAAGAAAGTTCCGCCTCCGCCTCCGTTCCCGAAGAGGAGCACATCGGTGAAGGGCTTGAGGTGGTGGGTGCAAGATCCTTTCCTTGCTGCTTATAAAGAGTGTACCAAAAGTGGGGGAAATGGAAAGCTGTCAAGCGAAAACGGTGGCTCCAAATCAGCAAGGAAGAAGAAGATTGGGTTTTCTTGCAAGGAATCATGTGATGTTAGAGATGATAACTTGGTGAGATTATCCAATCTCCCTCCTCTTCCAAAAGATGGAATTCGTCGTCAGCGAGAATTCGTTTATCCATTGAGAGTCTTGCTGAAACAACATAGCCTTATTTGATAAGAACGTGGAAGTATATAGGTATGTAGAAATAGAGCATTACGTTGATAAATAATTCCCAATATATAATCTGTGTAGGGATGCTTAAACAGTGTGAAGTTCAGCTTAGAATATTGCTGAAATAGAAATACATAAATAAGGTGTTGGTTTCTTAACAAGGAGTTTCTGGTTTATGTATCACCAGTTGTGGTCAACTCTTTTTTTTATTGCTTTTTCAAGTTTGTTGTAGCCAAATGTTGAAAGGCTAGTAAAAATGCCTAGTTTCTCGGTCATAATTAATTCAAGAATTGCAATGGGGATGGATTAACATACGGATTTCTGCAACTTTTGCTTACTTTACTTGTTATATCAGCTTTCTACCAACTAACAAGCATCAAAAAAAGGAAGATGAGGTTAATGTCTTAAATTACTTGATAAAATGACACAAACTTAATTTCTTCGACCTCTTCTATTTGAGATTATAAACTCTGTAAAGTTGAACTACTGTCTGTTTTCTTTATGTCATTGGAGTAACTTTCTTTTTTGGGGGTCACACAATTTTAGTACAAAAAAAGGTTGTAGCCCGAGATAGGGGGAAGGGATAATATAAATACTAATATGTGAATCCTTTCTTTGTAGGGAAATATCAGCAAGGTATTGTTGGGTATACCAGACAACCATCTTCCTTTCAAGTTGATGGAGGATTTGTGCGAGTGAGGATGAAACTATGGGACATTCCGTTTGGCTTTGGTTTGTTACATGTCATGTGGGTTGAAAGTGGCAAAAGTGGAAGTATCTTCTTCTGCAGATTGTTTTCAAGAGACGTTTCTAGGTATAGAAGATAAAAAGATGGATGTTGGTTTTAGGAATATCAAATTTATTGTGAATGAATGGGGCATTTGGGAAGCAACATGCTCTCTTCTAATCGGTAACATCTTCAATTCTAAAAGTGTTTATACCTAACATTTTGTTAAATTATAAGTCATTTCTAATAAAATCGTAGGATTTACAGAATAATCTCTAAAATTAAACCTAAATCCATAATAGTCCAAAATTTATATGGTGGGTAGTTAGTGGGCGAGCGGGAGCTAGGCCGGTAAGATCTCAAATCTATCACCTATCCACTACCCACGACGGGTATGACTTTTTACATCCACACCTGTCTATTATCTACTAAAGTTATACCCATCATTACCCCAATTGGAGCGGACACAATGTGATATCAACGAAATTATACTCGTCTGCCACGCTAAGTAACTGAAATGATGTTTATTTACGTTGACATTTTTTTTCCTTAAAATATATTTTTTATTTTATTGACTCATTTTTATTGTGCTTAAATAAATTCATAAACTATTAAGTTTTTATTTTATTTTTCTATCATTAAATTAAATCATTGCTAAAAGCCTAAAAACTATATAACAAAAATAAACAAATAAAAAATGTACCGAACGTCGGTTATAATACGGCAAATTGACGACCTGATCCATATCATCATACCAAGCAAAAGTTAACGACCCCAGATATTCTTTTAATTTAAATTCTTTTGATGTTAATAATATTAATTTAAAATCAGTATGTTTTAGGAAAGTAATATGTGAGGAATATCCACTACTAAATTTAATAACATATTATGATTTATCTTGTCCTATGTATAGCTGGAAGTTAAATAATGTAAAAAAAAAGATAATGGACAAATTTCTCACTATAATTTAGTTGAAAATTGGAATTTGTCATTTTACCTTATTTTGAATGACTTTTACCATTCTGTTATTGTGTTAAAGATAAATTTACAATTACTCTAACTTAATATTAAATTCTGCCACTTAATTTATGTCTGATTGGGTTTTACCACTAAAGTTTTAATTGAATTTTCACACTTAAAATTTTATCTAAGATAGCTTAAACAAAAAAATTAAAAAAATATTTTAAAACTATAATAATATATTAGTGAATAAAAAAGTAAACCTTTTAATTTTTAAATGAAAGTAAACTTTTAAAAAAATTTACGTAATAATTAAACAAACTGTACATGATGAAAGCTTACTCTTGTTATTAAATTGGATATTTGGATGATGTCCAAGGTCACAAATTTTAGGCCCTTTTTCTTTCAATTATTTTAATTATTAGATTTAAGTACATCACGATTTAGAAGAGTTTTATATAATGAGTGGACCATTTCTTTTGGAAAATATTATGTATATGTACGATCAATTTTTTTTTATAGAAATAGTTACTTTTATTAAAATATGAAAATATTTAAAATTTTAATAAGAGTTATAGTTAATATTGTAATTTAAATATATGATTTAAATTTTTTCTATAACATTGAAACAAGAAACAAACTACTTTAGATCATACAAGGATCATGTATGGAAAAGGTTAAAACCCAAACTAAAAAAACTTGAATAATAAATAGATACTAACAAATTTGGTTGTATCGATAAACGAACTAAAAAAGATAATTAAACTATTGAAAGATTACCGAGAATAGTAAATCATAACCAAATGTCGTGAGAAACTATCCACAAATGCAAAATTATGTATCCAAATTTAATCTGAAGATCCAAAGCAGGAAAGATCAACAAGGTTACAAATAATCGTCATCTTGAACAATCGTAGCGTCATCAAATCTAACCCTTGAAAGACATAAAATAAAAAATGGCCAAACAACCAAGAAAGAATACGAAAAATGTTCCATAAAGAGAAAAAAGTGTCACAAAAACATAATTATTTTTATTCAAAAAAATTTTAAAAATAAAACCAACGATCGACAATCAATATCAAAATTGGTATGAACATCTGCTAAACAAAATTAGAGAAAAAAATTAATCTGATTTATAAATAATGACAACAAGAAAAAAAGAAACATTGTTTCTGGGAAAAAACCTAGAACTAAGAGAGAGAGAGAGAGAGAGAGGTGATTACATGTACGAGTAACAGATGAATAATTTTTTTTATAATATTGTGATTGAAAAAAAAATCGTCCCAAATAATGCATGGATGTGATTATTGGTTTGAATGGCGTGTTTGCTACAGTATAAGAGAGAGACGTATTGTGTTCGATACGTCTATGATAAATCGTATGGACCATCCTACGTCTTCAGAATATATCGCATGGATTACCATGGTCTTTCTTCGTGAATGCTAGCAACATGCATGCATGGGAGTAAACTAGAAAAGCATGAGAGAAGATTAGGGTTCTGATAGGCTTAAATTAAAATGTTAAAAGTCATTAGTATTTAAGTTTCCATTTTTTGTTCTCGATCGGAATCCAATTAATTCTACAAAAGACAAACAGGACAAAGAGGGACTGTGTTTTGTTTTGGCATACAAAAAAAATTCTCGTTTTGGTTAATATAAAATATTACAGTCTATCATTTTTAGTTGAGTTTTATTATTTGTTTATGAATAAATTTGCATAACATATGCGATTTCATGAACATTTTGTCAATTGTTCAGTGGCCAAGCTTATATATATAGTAGGGAATCAGTGTCCAAAATTTAAATTAGATTAGTTTATATGAATTTTTTTTAATTTTTATTGGTACATATGAAACGACTACGTTTCGTAGTTTATTTTTCCAAATCCGACTCCCCATTTCTATCCGTCCTCAGGAGTAACAGTTCCTCCTGTGATTTCGCCAGTAGTTTATTCCTCTCCCATTCTCAAATGCCAGACTGTCAGACGATCAGCGTAGCGATTCGCTTCCCTCAGGTGTGTCTAAACTCCATTAATCCCTCTTTTCTGAAAATTTCGCATTCTTTCAATATACGTTCCAATTGAGGTCTTTCTGGACTGTTTTTTAGGGATTCGATTACCCGCTTTGTTTCCGCCTCAACCATGAGCTTCTTTGCACCTAGTGCCTTCGCGGGCCTCAAACCTTGTTATATTCCTCACAGTCCTGACATTTCAATGTTGGTTTGTCCGATGTTCTCCATGAAATCATAAACCCAATCGTCGTTTTCGTCTCTGATTAATCTTCCCGCCGCAACAAACCAATGGTTATTTTATTACATCTTATAAAAACCATACTTTTAATCTTATCATCTATAATTATATTCCAGATAGAATAAACCAAGTAAAGCCATTCCTTTAATAATCTTAATTTGGTTATAATATGGTACTATAATGTATATATTAAAATAAGGGCATTTTAGAGATTTTCTCATATCTCTCCAAATTCAATGGAGTCGTTAAAGTCGCAAATTCAAATGTTAACTTGGAGACATTGCCAACACTTGGACTATTTGTATAATAAGAGAAAAGTAAGTTTCAATGATTTGCCTTGTTGCATTAAATATAAACAAAACGTAAAGTGGGAGCTTATAATTTAGGCGACTTTTCAATGCAGACAACAAGAAAGAACGCAACATAAACCCAAACACCGACTAACTTTGTTTACACTACAATACCTAGTTCCTTCATCCTCAATAGAGGGGGAAAACCCCACCGATTTTCTTTCTCTAGCACCTGTTTCAATTTACGTAAAGGTAGAAGATAGATAGAGATTAGCCAGCTTCTGTTTTTGGAGAGAATTTTGATGAAGTTATTGTAAAGTTTTATGTAGGTACACGTTTAGATGATTAATGGTGTAGTTTGTTCGGACATGACTGTAACGTTATTGCATGGCCATGCGGATGATGAAAACTGCTGCAGTTGCTTGAAATGCAATATTTGTTGTATGTCCGACAATTTTTGTCGGAGCATACTCTGTTCAGATCGGAGGCGGTCGTTTTCGGTCCTCACACGGTGACAGTGGTACAAAAGGAACCTCAAACGGTTGGTCAGTTGTCGGTTCTCCATTCTAAGGCGGTTCGCCTGGTTCCTTAGGTTTTCTAAGTGCTTCTGTTTACGCATCCGTGACCTCCTGGCTGATTCCCGGTTCGATATCATTCGTCTGCGCTTTCGCTCGTCGATGATGGAAATCGTTTGGCTTGACTCATCCAAACCGGAATTGGAATTGGAGAGGGTTTGGTTTCGGTTTGGTCCACTTGAAGCGGAAGCCGAACCGGCGGGTCCTACTGGTTGGGTAGTGGAAAAAAGTTGGGAGCAATCCCACCCGCTTTCCGGGGGCGGAAATGAATCAATTTCGACCATCGGATTGGAGCAAAACATCGTCGGATCAGTGAACAGCATGGCTTTAGTAATACTTGGAATAAAATAGCTAGAAAGAAAGAAAGAGTAAAACTTCTAAAAGTATTATATGGGGAAGATGAGGAGGAGAAAAGGGAATAAATGCAGCGTCGGGGGCTCGTATTTATTGACAAACTTGAGGACTGGTGTGGGCTCCCCCTAATGGCATGAAAATACAATTCAATCATATTTTGGTAAAGTTTCCATACCTATTATAAACCATAAATGAATTAAGTTTTCAGAAAGCCAGGTTTAAAAGTGATACATGTCCTTGAGATGTATTTTTTAATAACCTCGTGATGGAGTAAAAAATACGTAAAAATCAATATATAAAAAGTGGAGCATGTAAGATTTTTTTAATTATGGGATATGAGTTTTGTCAAAGATTTTTTTTTAATTATGTGCTTTTGTGATGATTAACTATCTCTACTATAAATGATGATTTATTTTAGTATAACATTTTCTTTGGTCATTGCTTTAGTTGGTTTTGAATTAATTTATGAATATAATTTTGATTTCTCTTAATATGGACATGTAAACCATTATACATTACATCGTGATATTACATGGTCAAATCTTCTTATTGACAAGAATGGTTAAGATAGTAAATTTTGACAATGTGGTATAGTCTAGGGATCCTTATACCAAATTCAAAAGATGGTACCCGTGTATTTACGTTGCTAGTCCGTCTGAACAACTTTAGGGTCAGGTGGCACACTATCTGGGGGCTTCAGTAATACTTTTTAGAGGGAGAAAATGGGGGTCACATATGCCCTTAAAAAATATTATTATTTTGTTTATTTTTGCTTAGTCACTAAGGGAATAAAGTAGTGTGGGGTCATGGAAACACGTGGCGACTACTGTAGGGGAGAGTAGCCAATAGTTGGGAAGGTGATGACGTGGATCCACGCGTATGGATGGGACGCTTTGGGCAGTAATTTGCCTAGTGGGGATGGTGCTCAACCGGCCTTTGATTAAATGAAAATTTGAAAGGCAACATAGCTATTGTTAAAACCGGATATCAACATCATAATGACGTTTTACTTTACTTTTTTCACTTCTTTTTTTTATATAAAAAAACCACAAAAGAAAAAAAAATCTCAGAGAAGATTACAATTTTAATTCTTACTACTCTATCTATCTCCTATCTATTATTAATTTTTAAAAAGTTAAAATTTTTAAATTTTAATCATAATTATTTTAAATATTTTAAATAATTTTTTTATTATATATATATATATATTTAAAAACTATTTAATATAAAGTTTTTAAAAATATATTTTTATATTTTTATTAATAATAAATTTTAAATAATAATAAATCAAAATTAAAAAAAAAAACAAAAAAATAACTTTAAACAGATTTAATGGGGACAGAAAAAATATTTGTTATAATGATATTACATATATAAAGAGAGCCTATGTCACCCACCCACAACCACGAGTAGGGATAAAACAAAAAAAAAAGTTGGATCATGGGACAACCTTTATTTTTTTAGTTTATTTGATTAGAATTTACATATTCATAAATTTAATTATTATATTTTGATTTTAAAACTTTAAATTTAAAAGACTTAAACTATTGTGAATCAAACCTAAAGGACCTATTTTCTTTTATTAATGTGCCGCATCTCTTTTTTTTGTCTTTATTGATGGAAGTAGCATTTAATATTGGTTGTCGAACGTCAATATTTTTATTGTCTTTTTTTTATATTTATTTTCTTTTATTTTTTTTTTATAAGTATGCCTATGTTGCACATTTTCATCTGCTTTATGAAACATTTCCTTATGCTTTTTGGCATGTTTTTAAGTTCTTTGGTCGTTTTTTTATTTTTTTCTAAGGGTTGATTTGACATCGTCACGACTGATCGAGATGGTTCTTATCTGATATCTTGTTGATCTTTTCTCGAATTGGATTTAGATACTCGATTTTCGTTCGTAGATAGTTTTTCACGTTGCTCGAGTCTGATTTGCGATTCGTTTGCCGATGCGATCAGATATGTTTGTATCTATTTTTGTTTGAACTTCTTGGTTAGATTTAATATTTCCTTATATGGTCCTTATGTGATCTTAAGTTACTAGTTTTGTTCCAATAGCTATAGGAAATTTTCTTAATTATGTGCTTAATCTACTATTGTAATTGTAAATCTTGATTGTAATTTTGGATTTTTCCTATTTTGAATAAAATTAGTTGATTCTATAAAAAAATATTCAAATTTAATAATTTTTTTTATTATTAAATCTTGATTTCACTTGTACATAAGTAGTAGTTTTTTCTAATAAAACAACAAAACTTTCAACAACTAAAGTTGTTCAATATATTCATCTATAAATTATAATTTAAATCGAACACTGAAAAAATATTTCAAATTTTGACTTTGGATCTTCATCATAAAAATATTATTTAAGGTTATTTATTTCATTATTAATACATATTAAAGGAATTCATAGCTTTCTCGAGCCATTTTTGAGGTCAGGAAAAAAATGGAAACAAAAGACAAAATCCATATAAGTCGTATTTTTTGGAAAGATCATTCAAGTCATTGTTAACCACATTAAAAGATGAGTTAAAGGGGGCGGCCTACATCTATTCTAATGGATTAAAAGTATCGTTCGAATAACAAGTGTCAGCTTCACACCCATCTCATATTTTTTTTAGTGTCGTTCGAATATCAAATGTAACCTTCACACCTATGGATTTTCTTGTGCTTTATTTATTTTTAATTAAACATTTACAGGTAAGCCAACCATCAGGCTTAGCTTTACATCTGGTTTTCCATGAAACTTTTGTTGCCTTGCTCTTATCTTGCTGAGACTAATTAACCTTTATGAAAATGGGAACCCAGATTTATGGGGCAAGTAACTGGAAATTATTAGCAATCTCATCTTTGGCCTATATCTGAATGCAACAACATATCACTGTCGAGAGGTGAAGAACAAACCCTAAGATCAATGATCGTTAAAAGTATCAAACTTAAGCATAGAATATTATAGTGACAAAATTTTGAGTCGTTACTAATAATTCTATCACTATTATATTAATGACGGATTTAATGAATTTTGTCACAATTATTTATTTTTTGTGACTATGCTTTTTGGCACAGAAAAATTAGTAACAATGATGAAAATTTAGACACTAGTATTATCCTTATTAGCACTACAACAAAATGGGTCTATAACGGCATTTCTAGCGGTGTTTTTAGAACAAATGCCGCTAAAATACTAGTACTTTAGTGGTTTAGTGGCGTTTTTATACAAACGCCGCCAAAGTATAGTCTTTAGTCGCGTTTTCAAAACAAACGCCGCTATAGATTAGTATTTTAGTGGCGTTTTTATACAAACGCCGCTAAAGAATATTTTAGTGGCGTTTTTTGAAATAATGCCGCTATAGACTAGTACTTTTGTGGCATTTTTATACAAACGCCGCTAAAGTACTATACTTTAGTGGCATTTTTGAACAAACGCCTCTATAGACTAGTACATTTGTGGCGTTTTTATACAAATGTCGCTATAGACTAGTACTTTAGTGGCGTTTGTATACAACAACTCCGCTAAAGACTGTACTTTTATGGCATTTTTAGGACAAACGGCGCAAGTTTACAAATTTTAAATCCCACACCCCTTTAACCCTTTTTCATTTTTCCCACTTCACTTATTTTTTCATTCCGAAGTTATTGAAAGAGGAGGTGGTGGAGGGAGAGGGAAAAGAGGAAGAGGGACGACCGCTATGACGGACGACCATCTGTTCAACATCTCCCTTGCCAGCCGAGGTGGCATGGTTAGTTCGTTCTCTTGCTCGAACTTTCTCTATGTTTTTTTACTCTAGAAAACTTAGGTTTCTGCATTTCCTTTTCTTGCACTCTTTTTAGATCATTTCGTGACCCTAAATTCATTCTTAGTTTATTTGATTTCACGTGACTTCGATATGTTCAGTTTAAACTTTGGAGGAAAATCGATATATTCTTTCAGTGTTTTTGTTCGTTGTTATTGCTAGGGCTTCTCCTTTTTCTAATGATTATAAATTTTACTTCAATTTTTATGGTTTTTTTTTGTTTTATGTTACTATCTGCTGACATTTTCTCGCAGGCAAAATTTCATCTTTTATTATCAAATTCAACAAATATATCTTCATTTATCGATAAATGGGTTATTCGATACAATTGACCCAAGAGGAGAAGATGAGATTTTGCCTATTTCCTCCAATCTGGTTTTTACCCATTTCTTCTCACTCACTTATTTAATGAATTTCATTTCTTTTTAAAATGTTCTGGATTTTTTAAAATGGTTTTTACCCTTTTAGGCATATGCATTTTTGGAGTTGACAAACGGAAATTTAGATCAAGCGCCAAGAATCTAAGACTAAAAGAGAAGAAGAGATGAAGATCTTCTGTTGGCTCTATTTAGTGTTTGTAATTGTTAGTGTCAGTGCTTTTCTGAAGAATCCCCAACTAAGCTCTCATCGTGTTGTTTCCAGGTTCTTTCTTTTTTTCCTTTTCACTTCATTTTCCCTTATATGTATCTTAACTCCACTAATTTCAATATTTTATTTCTTTCCCTTTTCGTTTGTATGAATTGGGTTATTTTTTTCATCACTTGTGTTTTATATACTGTGAATTATATAATAAGTGGGATTTTCTTGCTGTTGATGACAGTAGAAGAATTATTCGTTGTAATGCAGACAAATTATGGAGATATTGAATTTGGATTTTACCCAAGTGTTGCACCCAAAATTGTTGATTCGAGAATTTAGCTTTCAACGTATCTAGGATGCGCGACATTATGATTTATTTCTTCATCTTTTTTTCATGGAGTATCGAGCATTTTACACTCAATGTTGAATATGCTATCTACTTGTTTGCCATGGTGTGAAGATAAAAAATGAGAGAGCTAGCTGGTATACAGATGTGGTTTTTATCTTTTTGACCACATACAATTTTCTTATGTTTGCTTGCTGACTGTGAGCTTTGGTGTATGTGGTTTAACTTGTGTTTGTTTCAATTTCACTTTGTGTGTTAATCATCCTAATCTGTAAGCATCTTCATGCCTTATCTTTAAGCTAATTCCTATGTTTTAATGTGATGCATACATGTTAAACCAGGGAATAATTTG